CAGCAGCAGCAGCAGCAGCAGCAGCACAAGCGGCAGGGTGAGGGTGGGTAGGCGCTGCAGCGAGGGAGGTAGCAGCAGAAAGAGGCAGAGAGGGGCAAAGAGAAAAGAAGCAAAACGGGAAACGTAGAAATGCACGGCGCCCCTCTGCTGCTGCTGCTGCTGTTGCTGCAGCTGATGCTGCAGCTGCAGCTGTTGCTGCCCACAGATAGCGGGGTAAGACGGGGCTGCACTTCAGTCATAGTGAGAGTGGAGGAAGAAGCAGCAGCAGCAACAGCAGCAGCAATGGCGGAAGCCAGCAACACTGGCGGCAGAAACAGCAAAAGTAAAAACAAGGCACACACAGTCCCACTAGCAGCTGCAGGAGCGTCAGCAGCAGCAACAGCAGGACTTTAGCAGCAGCAGCAGCAGCAGCACCAGCACCAGCAATAGCACCACAGCATCAGCACCAGCAGCAGCAAGCAGCGTGAGCAGTAGCAGCAGCAATAGCAGCAGGAATAGCAACTCCACTAGTAGTCGAAGCAGCTGGAGCAACAGGGGAGGCACCACGAACCAGCAGCAGCAGCCGCAGGAGTAGCAGCAGCAGAACTAGCAGCAGCAGCAGCAGCAGCAGCAGCAGAACCCCTAGCAGCAGCAGCAGCAGAACCAGCAGCAGCAGCAACAGCAGAACCAGCAGCGGCAGCAACAACAACAACAGAACCAGCAGCAGCAGCAGTAGCAGCATAACAAGCAGCAGCAGCAGCAGCAGCAGCAGCAGCGGGGCACCTCTGGGGTCAACGTAGATTCTGTATCTCTTGATGAGCTTCTGTCGAGTGGGGGAGTTGAACTGCAGCGAGAGCCACGGCATTTGCTGCCTGCTGCTTTCAAAAGCTGCTTCGCTTTCGTCCAAACTGACATAAATTATTTCCACTTTTGGCCGATCCCCAGCCTCGTTCACGTTCTTGTAAAACTGCAACACGCATGCAACGCATGCAACGCATGCAACGCATGCAGCCGCGCATGCATGCCGCAGCAGCAGCAGCTGCTGCTGCTGCGGCGCGCGCTGCAGCAGCAGCTGCTGGGGGCGCCGGGGACCCGGGCAGCGTTTGTGCCGCGCACTAACCCTATACTCTAAACCCTAAACCCTAAACCCTAAACTCTAAACCCTAAACCCTGAACTCTAAACATTCTGGTTCTGTGTGAGCGGGGGCAGCGCGAGTCTTCAGCCCTGGGCATGCGAGGCCCCATTGGCGTCAAACCCTAGCCCTAAACCCTAGCTCTAAACCCTAACCCCAAACCCTAAACCCTAACCCCAAACCCTAGCCACCCCTCTAAACACTATCCCCTGACCCCAAACCCTAACACCAAACCCTAAACGCTAACCCCAAACCCTAAACCCTAACGCCAAACGCTAACCCCATACGTCGAAGTAACCCCAAACCCTGACTCAAACCCTGGGCCCCAACTCAAACCCTAACCCCCAACCCTAACACCAAACCCTAAACGCTAGCCCCAAACCCTAAACCCTATCGCCAAGCCGAAACTGACCTCAAACCCTAACCCAAACCCTCTCCCCAAACTCCAAACCCCATCCCCAAACCCCGAACCCTATCCCAAACCCTAAACCCTAGACGCGGTCCTCGGGCGTTTTGGCAGCAGCAAGTATGGTTTAGAGTGCAGCTAGGCTGCTTAAGGGTTAAACTGCACGCTGCTGCAGCTGCTGCTGCTGCTGCTGCTGCTGCTGCTGCTGCTGCTTGGCGGACTTGCGCGAGAAAAGGAATAAAAGAAGAACACTTGGGATGAGTTCCCGCGGAAAACAGCAAAGCCACAGAACGCCCCCAAAGGGCATCCAGCCCCACAGGCCGAAAACCCTCCACACTCAGCCCCACCAAATCCTCCCCCACGCCCTCCAGGAAGCTTTCAAACTCCCCTGTACACAACCCGCGCAGCACAAGCAGCTGCTGCAGCAGCAGCAGCAGCAGCAGCGGCGGCAGCGGCGGCAGCGGCGGCAGCGGTAGCAGGAGCAGGAGTAGCGCAGCAGCAGCAGCGGCAGCAGCAGGAGCAGCAGGAGCAGAAGCAGCACAGCAGCAGCAGCAGCGGCAGTGGAAGCAGCAGCAGCGGCTGCTGCTCCAGCTAAGGGCTGCCGCGAGAACACAGAGAGGGGCGGGAAACAACGCAGCAAAGGCCCAGGCTGGCAAGTATCCTAAGCAGCAAAAAGAGAGGCAGCAGCGCTCCTTAGGGGCCCCATAAAAGGCCCCCCAGAGCCCCTGGAGGGCCCTGGGGGCCCTAGAGGGGGCCCCTGGGGGGCCTCTGGGGGCCCGTAGGGGCCCCTAGGGGCCCCTTAGTGGGTCTTACCTTCGGGGTGGCCGGAAACAGTGGAGCCTATGGGGGCAGTAGAGGGGGCGAAGCCAGAACGCATGAGATACTGCTGGCCTCTGTCGATTTTGAAGCCTTCGGAGGGTCGAGACTCTCCAGAATAGGCCCCTCTGGTGTTTCTGGGGCCCTGGGAGGCCCCCTGCTGCTGCTGCGCTGCTGCTCGTTTCATTTTTGCTGCTGAAGAAGCTCTGGGAAGTCTGTGCAGGGCACTTTGGGGGGCCCGGGCCTCGCACACCGAGCCAGTGCGGCGCGCAGGCGGCTTACCGAAGTGAAATGACCTTTTTGAAGTGAAATTAAAAGACAAAAGCTATTAATTATTATAATTAATTGCTTCAGGCACGTGAAATTCGGGGAAAACGCACAGGAATGGCACTCAGATGAGGCCAGTGGCTGTGGGCCAGTGGACCACTGGCTCGCCGAGCCGCGGCGGCTGGTCGCTTCTGGGGCCGCACCACTGGAGGTGAAAACTGGAAAAAGGGCAAACAAATCCAAAAACAAGAAACAAATTATCAAATAAATGTTTATTAAAACTTAATTACTCAAGAACACAGCCCAAACAAGCAGTTTCTGCCGCCGCCAGCCGCCCACCAGAAAGCCCACAGACAGCCGCAGCAGCAACCCTCTCTTCCTCGCAGCAAAAAGAACCCCCAAATTGCTGCAGCAAAACTCGTAGTCTTAAAAGGCTTTAGAGGCCCTTTAGAAGGGCTCTGTGGGGCCCAGCTGAGGGGCAGGAGCTGCCGATCGACCCTTCAGTTAAGGCCCTAGAGAAAAAGGAAGAATATCCAGCGAAACTCCCGCTGCTGCAGCTTGCTGCTGTGCTGCAGCAGCAGGATACTGCTGCCCCTGCTGCAGCAGAGGCAGCAACCGCTTGCTGGTGTGCTGCTGTAGCTGCGTGTTGCTAGGTTGTTGCGGCAGACTAGTGCTGCTGCTGCTGCTACGGCTTGGTGCTTTACTGCTGCAGCATCTTGCTGCAGCATGCTGCTGCAGCAGCCTGATGCTGCAGCCGTTCGCTGCTGCTGGTGCAGCAGCTAGCTTTCTCCCCGACGTCGGTTTGATTTGCTGCGAGGTCTATTTAATTAGCTGCAGGGCCTTTGAGCAGCAGCTCCTGCTGCTGCTGCTGCTGCTGCGACGGCCCCCTAAGGCTTTACCTCGCGGAAGCCAAGAGGTGAAGATAAACAAAAGAACTGCAGCAATAGCAGCAGCAGCTGCAGCAGCAGCAAACACAAAGGCCGCGCCTTAGTCTCCCGCGGGAAATAAAGGCAGCAGCAAAAGAAGAGACAAATCTAAGGAGCAAAAAGGCCTAAGCTCACACAGAGGCAGCAGCAGCAGCCAGTTGCTGCTGCTGCAGCAGCAGCAGCAACTG